CAAAATTTCTTTCTTCACAAGAAAGTGGAGGAGGAAGACAGGGATCAAAGCGCTTTGATTCTTGCTTTCTCCCTCCACTTTCTTGTGAGAAAGTGGAGGGGAAAAGCAGGGATCAAAGCACTTTGGTCCCTTCCCCTTCTTCTGTGTATGACAAATCTAAATTTTTAATCTAAATATTTTAGATAAAAGTATCATCTTATACACAGAAAAATACAGTATCCAGTTGTTAGTTCCAATGCGAGTAAACATTTACTTAAGACTCATTGATCAAAGGGTTTGCTCTAGCTGACCAACATATTCCATGCTCCACAGTTCCATCTCCTTATTACTGACCAAGAAATAGTCACGGAAGAATTCTGGCAGTTCCATGCTGAGGATATCATCATCCAAAGGTAGAAGGTAGAAGGACCACTCATCCCAGCTCACATCTGGAGGAACAGAAGAGCACAGATGGGCATTTGCTTAAGACAGTACCCACTCCTGTCTTGCACTGGCTACCACAGATTTCACAGAAGAGGATGCCAGAAATTGAATTACCAGCTCTTGGCACCCCACCTCCTGCCTACAGGTTCCGAAACATACCTCCATATATCCCCTCTTCCTCCAGCACCATCTCACAGGTGTAGAGCTGCAGGAAGTGGAGAAGACAGTCAGTTCCACGTAAACCAGTTTCCCCTCAGTCCCCAGAGATCCCTCTTTCAACGAAAGAAGGGAGATCTCTAAATACACAGGCACAGTTTTTATTTGTATTCAAGGCCTTTCAAATCATAGTGTTCTTCAGAACAGCTGTAGGTACAATCACTTTGAGTCTTTGGCCTCCATGCATTACTAGAAAGTCAAGAATTGGTGGTGTCTATGGTTGCCCCTGAAAAGAATATCATTTCAAAACCACTGGGTGCTAATAAAATGTGGTTCTTTTAGAGGTCCCCTCCTTCCCTCCCCGGACCAACACTGCCCACTGCACCACACCAACAGGGCAGAGATAAATCTGTCCAGCTCTGGACATGACACCATGGGAAACAATCACAACACACAACCCAAGAGGGAGACCCGGGCCAGAGGGACTAATAACTGGGCAGCACTTCAGAAAGACAGCACAATAATGGCTGAGTAGTGGCTGGCCCAGAAGTGGCACAGGGATGGCGAGTCCTAAGAAGCATCCTGCTGAATACTTGCCTTCTGAGGGCTGAAGATAATCTTGTACTTGCGGGTCCGACCAGCCGCCTTATCAGCATTTACCATGTCTGGGAAAAGACACATGTCAGACAGCAGTTGAGGCTAGTCAAACTCTTTCTGTGCCTTTTCTCAGTAGCCTCAAGATTTGTTTCCACCTGTCCCAATATTAGTTACCGTATTTATTTTGAAGTTGCAACCCTCCCTTTAAAACCATGCCATTCTGAAAGAGGCCTGTAAAGGCTCACAATAATTTAAAAACATGCAACATTCAAATTCACTCTTCCACATGCCTGCACTCTTGGGTCCTATGTCTAATAGAAACAGCCGGAGCATTTTACTACAATTTTGCAGCCTTGGGGATAAGTGACATTTGCAATGACCTGTTCTCATTTGCAGGGAGTGGGGAGCAAACCTATTCCAGCTTGCTTTCCCGGGCTGATGGATGAGGCCAGCCAATCCCCTGCCCCTACATCTCCTTCCAAGAAACTGGCACCTTTGGCTGTAGCTGTATAATTATCAGCTACAAATCTTCCTTCTCCTCAAGATCAAGTCATATTGACCAGATTCTCACCTGCCACATACTTCACACTCCTGATGCGTGGCCGGAGCAGAAAGCATAACCTTGGGGGGAAAGAGAAAGAGGCAAACTCAGTGGAGCAGGCAAGAAAATGACATTACATCTTCTCTTCTTGGTGAGCTGGTCGTTGTAAGCTCCAGAGACACTCAAACATCTCTTTTTCCCTTGGCCAGCAGGAGCATCTGTGCAGCCCCTTGGTGGAAGGGGCAAGTACGGCTCCCATTCCTCGGCACACAAGGGGTGTGTGTGAATCTACCATCCACTCACTGGTCACTGGTACTGTGGGCTGGCTTGTTCTCCACTTTGTAAAGCTTATCCACTTCGTGTTGCTGCAAAGGCAAGAGAAAGGGAGAGGGAGAGATTTAGCTCATGTATTTTGGAGAGGATGGGGCATGACAAGAGTTGTGGCTCCCCCCCCCCGCCCCATACACCCTTTTACTCGGAAGTGAAGGGAGATGGCTAGGTAAGGCCACTGGGACGGAAAGAGGCATCTGCGTTCACACTGCCTGCAGGTCCAGGCGCTTCTGTCCGCATCCGCCTGCCAGGCCCATCCCCGAAGCCGCTCGCTGCCCGGAGGGAGAAACAGGCAGGACCTCAGCAACGCCTTTGGCAGCATGGCCGGGCCGCTGCAACCCCACGAAGGCGCCAGACCTCCCGGGCCTCTGGCACCTTGAGGATGGAGACATTGGCAATCCGGTCCAGAGGGCTCATCAGGTCGGCTTCGATGAACAGGTCCTTCTTCCCAGGGAGCTGCGAGGGAGAGAGAGAGAAAGAGGCGAGGCGGG